CTCTCTCTCTCTCTCTCTCTCTCTCTCTCTCTCTGTCCCTCCCTCCCTCCCTCCCTCCCTCCCTCCCTTCTCTCCTTATTCCTCCCTCTCCCTCCTCATCCTCCCCCCCTCTCTTAGTCCTCTGACGAACCAAATATATAATGCATCCATAGACTCTTAATGGAATCCCGATGTTTTTTAATGTTGGCGCCGAGAGAAGATGCCGCCGCTCCTAAGGTGATCACAGCCTCCCAGCTGATAACTGAGATGAAGATCTCCTGGGATGATGCTGGCTCGCCACGCCGCCTTAAGAGAACGAACACAACAGTTGTCTTACTCAAACCAGGTCATAACAGTTGTCTTACTCAAACCAGGTCATAACAGTTGTCTTACTCAAACCAGGTCATCTTTCTAAGACGTGAGAGCACTTACAGCAACTATTTTCTCTCGAGGGGAAAAAATACCAGTGTGTAGAGATCAAACTCACACTAGAGTGTGAGTTTGACTTTTTGTGTTTCTGAATTTGGACATATGGGAAATTTTTTGTTTTAAACATAAATAAATATAAAACTTTTTGCCTAACCTCTCTTAGCAATTCTTAGGCTTAATACAGGCTAACGTAGGCCTAATATTGTATGTGTTATACTAGGCCTAAGAATGCTTTAAGTTTGGTTTTGTGCTATATATATTTTGTTCCCTGACTCTATATCAACTTAATAGTACCGGAAGGGGTTTAATGGCAGGACCATCACTACATATTGGTACTTTCCACCACATAGCTACTGTTTGCTGCAGGGGAAGAGGAGAGGTGCGTCCCTCCTGTCTCAGGTGGAAGAGAAGAGTGTCCCATCTGTCCCACGTGGAAGAGGAGACGCTTGGAAGATGAGACACACACACACACACACACACACACACACACACACACACACACACACACACACACACACACACACACACACACACACACACACGGGAGGCAGATGTGCACATCTGCCTGGCCCTCGCCACACCTGCTGCTTCGTGGACTCTTTCTGATAATTACTTCCTTTGCCTCACTATAATTTGACGCGATTGATTTATGTTCAGCCATAGTTAAATTATATTGTGAATTATTATTATTATTATTATACATTTTCTGTTATCTTAAAAAAAACTTGTAATCGATATCTTGGCGCGTGTACAAGGTTGTGAATACTCGCCTGATTGTGCTGCGAAGGTTGGGCTTCGGCACTTTGGTCCCGCCTCTCGACTGCTGTACAGGTTCCCCGAGTCTTAATTTTTTTTTTAATCTTATATACATTTGAAACTGTGTATGGAGTCTGTCTCATCACATCACATGTATTCTATTTAACTTCTCTGGCACGGAATAAGTTCTTTCTAATGTCTCTGTGGCTCATTTTGGTAATCGGTTGCCACCTGTGTCTCTTTTGGGTGATTACCACCCATGTTTAATAGTCAGTTTTCATCTACCCTGTCAACTCCCCTGAGAATTGTGTAGGTGGTAATCATGTCTCTCCCTAACTCTTCTGTCTTCCAGCGACGTGAGGTTTAATTCATGCGGCCTTTCCTTGTAATTCATACCTTGTAGTTCTGGAACTAGTCTGGTGGCATGCCATTGAACCTTCTCCAACTTCGTCATGTGCCTAAATAGGTATGGATTCCAGGCTGGAGCCGCATACTCCAGGATGGGTCTAACAAGATTCTGATTTATTCCTTACATAAGTTTCTAAAGACATTTCTTATTACACACAGAGATCACACTAACGTGATGCATCAAATGAACAAATCCACAAGGGCCGTGACGAGGATTCGAATCTGCGTTCGGGAGCATCCCAGACACTGCCTAGTCAGTGTCAATCAGTCAATAGCTCAGTCGATTAAGGCAGTGTCTGGGATGCTCTCGGACGCAGGTTCGAATCCTCGTCACGGCCCTTGTGGATTGGTTCATTTCTTATGTTAGCTAACCTCGTGTATGCTGCTGATGATATCCTACGAAGTGGACTTCAGGAGACAGGTTCGGTGTGATATCTACCTGTAGTTCGATTTCTCTGTCCGTTTCACGAAGCATTCATCTCCCGTTTGGTACCAAACGTCTTGCCTTCTACTCCCGACACTTAATTTCATTGATTTACATTTACTTGAGTTAAACTCAAGTAGCCATTTGTTGGATCATTCTTTCAGTTTATCCAGCGGTTCTTAGTATCATCTTCTGTCTCATTCCTTCTCAAAATTTTGCATCATTAGAGAACATTGACAGGAATTAGTCTATACCCCCTGGATGTTGTTTACATATAAAACGGGATGAGTTCGGGTACAGAACCCTGTGGGACTCCGTTGGTGACATCTCGCCACTCTGAGGTCTTAAATTAAATTTTGCCCCGAGGGGCGAGTTTATTGGGCAGCGCCACTCATCCTGTGAGTGGACACACCGCCATAGTGACAGTATTGGGCAGCGCCACTCATCCTGTGAGTGGACACACCGCCATAGTGACAGTATTGGGCAGCGCCACTCATCCTGTGAGTGGACACACCGCCATAGTGACAGTATTGGGCAGCGCCACTCATCCTGTGAGTGGACACACCGCCATAGTGACAGTATTGGGCAGCGTCACTCATCCTGTGAGTGGACACACCGCCATAGTGACAGTATTGGGCAGCGCCACTCATCCTGTGAGTGGACACACCGCCATAGTGACAGTATTGGGCAGCGCCACTCATCCTGTGAGTGGACACACCGCCATAGTGACAGTATTGGGCAGCGCCACTCATCCTGTGAGTAGACACACCGCCATAGTGACAGTATTGGGCAGCGCCACTCATCCTGTGAGTGGACACACCGCCATAGTGACAGTATTGGGCAGCGCCACTCGTCCTGTGAGTGGACACACCACCATAGTGACAGTATTGGGCAGCGCCACTCATCCTGTGAGTGGACACACCGCCATAGTGACAGTATTGGGCAGCGTCACTCATCCTGTGAGTGGACACACCGCCATAGTGACAGTATTGGGCAGCGTCACTCATCCTGTGAGTGGACACACCGCCATAGTGACAGTATTGGGCAGCGTCACTCATCCTGTGAGTGGACACACCGCCATAGTGACAGTATTGGGCAGCGTCACTCATCCTGTGAGTGGACACACCGCCATAGTGACAGTATTGGGCAGCGCCACTCATCCTGTGAGTGGACACACCGCCATAGTGACAGTATTGGGCAGCGCCACTCATCCTGTGAGTGGACACACCGCCATAGTGACAGTATTGGGCAGCGTCACTCATCCTGTGAGTGGACACACCACCATAGTGACAGTATTGGGCAGCGCCACTCATCCTGTGAGTGGACACACCGCCATAGTGACAGTATTGGGCAGCGTCACTCATCCTGTGAGTGGACACACCACCATAGTGACAGTATTGGGCAGCGCCACTCATCCTGTGAGTGGACACCCGCCATAGTGACAGTATTGGGCAGCGCCACTCATCCTGTGAGTGGACACACCGCCATAGCAGCAAGTACAACACTCCCCAATAGGAAGAAAACCCGCTGGGGTTGTTCATACTGTCTTCCCCCCCCCTCACAGTAACTCGCTGTTTTCTGTGCTTAGGTACTCCCTTAATCACTGGAGCATCTTGCCTATTATTCCTGCTTGATTCTCCAACTTATACTCATTGGGTAAAGTGCCAACGACTTTCTGAGAGTCCAAAAATATGCAATTGGCCCACTCTTGCATAATTGTTGTCACCTGGGCATAGTAACCTGTTAGACCTGTGAGGCAAGATTTA